CCAGGTGCTCACACACAAATGAAATCCATATAAATCCAAAACTGGTTTAGAGGCACTCACGAGTCTTGCAGAGGAGGAAGATAAAAAACAAGAGTGTTTTTATTGTCAACATTTCCATGAAGCTCAGTCCATCTTTCTCAAGACACTACAACATGGAAGTGAACAGACTAATAAACCTAAAGTCCCACCCACGAACAACACCCCCTAGTAATGACCTCACAGTGCAAGGGTTAAAAGAAACATACAGGGAAAAGGTAAACAAAATCACAAAAGAAATAAAACACAGTAATACACCAAAAAGCAAAATATGCAAAATCCTAGCTGAAATCAAGAATAAAAAATAGCTCCAACATAAAAATGACAAATTTCAGAAAAAGTGAAACAAACAAAGCAGGTAATGAATACTCACAAGATGGCCACCACACACCAGGCAGGCATTGACCATCCAAACATCCCACATGCCCTCTTTTTTAAGGGATTCAGGAATGGTCATCAATGTACTCCAGGAACTTGGCCCAATTCCATCTGATTGTGTGTTGGCTACTTTAGATGTGAACAGCATCTATACTGTCATCCCACACCATGAAGAGTTTCAGGCAGTACATGAAGCCCTTATGAAACTGAAACATGTTAAATCACCTCTTTCTTTTTTGCTTGACCTTCTGGGCTTTATCCTCACCTTTAATTATTTCAAATTTGATGAAAAATTCTACCAACAGTATTCTGGGACTGCTATGGGTTCCAATGTTGCACCCTCCTTTGCCAATATATTCATGCACCAATATGAACGCAACATTTTATTGCCTAGATTGGAAAGACCATCGCTATAAAGATGACCTTTTGCTGCTTTGGTCTGGAAGTGGTGATGAAGTGGTGATGATCTGACAAGGAAGATTGATAAGATCAATGATATGTCTACCCCAATCAAGTTGACCTTTACATCTTCTGATACTGACATCAATTTCCTAGATCTCAACATTTATAAAATGGTCATCAATGACAATACAATATTTGGGACTATACTGCAAGCCGACTGATAGAAAAACTTTGCTTCATGCACACAATGCACACCCACCCAGCACTAGTCCGTGGAATCCCGTATGAACAGATGCTGAGAGTAAAAAGAAGCAACTTCAATCCTATCACAGTTGAACTACAGCTTGATGAAATGATGGAAAGATTTTCTGAACGTGGCTGCTGAAGAAAACTCCTCCATCAACAGAGACAACATGTAGCAAGTGCTGAAGAATCCCCACTCTGTCCCTGGGACAACATCCCACAAAACCAAATCGTTTTTCCTACTTGTTATTTAGGAGAGAATCATACAGTGAAGGATGTAGTTTATTCCTGCTGGCCGATCATTTCTAGCGATTAAAGCTTACCTTTAGCTAATACACCTCCACCTATCATGAGTAATAAGAAAGGAAAAAGCTGGAAAGATCTTCTGATGCACACTGAATTAACACCCATTACTAAAACATCCACCTGGATCAGTCTTGGCAAACCTGGCTGTCCAGATTGTAACAAAAGTCGCCATATGGTGACCGGTCAATTCTTTCTACACCCACATTCCAGAAAACATGTGTATATTAAATACAGACTTTCTTGTACATCAGAATATATACTTGATATACTTGCTTTGCTGACCCTGACGTTTGTACTATATAGGCAAGGCTATCACCTCCTTTAGGGATCTGACATCCGCCAGGCAATTGCTTCCCAGACAATTAACCAACCAGTAGCATGCCACTTTTTGGAACAAAATCATGCTATACCGATTTTAAAGTGCATGTTGATTGACCATGTCCCAACCCTAGCTAGGGGGGGTGACCACCATTGTCTACTGTTACAAAGGGAAAGCCAATGGATCTATGAGGGGCCTAATGAACAGCTAAGCCTCAATTTTGTTTTATGATTCTTTGGAACTTCTGGCTGGCTACCTGTTGGTGCTTTAGACAACCTGATTGATGGAGAAATGATGGGCAGAACAGTTAATGGTATATAAGCTCTCTCACTGGATGGATATCTAGCTGATGGCCTCCTTCATACTTAGGAATTCTGACCCTGATCTCTTTGACAAACGTTTTGACATACATGTGCTAATTGGTATAATTATATGACACACTTCATCTTAGTAGATTTTATTGTAAATAAATGGGTGCCATCATCCTATATGACCATAAAAAAATTGAAGGGGGACATACCTCCAATGAGGAAAATGGACTATCTCGGCACCCAAAGGACAACAGAGCCATAAAAGCAGTACATTTTTATTAAGATACAAAAAATTATTGGATCAGACGAACATGAATCTGTTATGAAATTGCAATGATTTAACAGCATATTCTCACAGATCACATAAATTATGGTTGTTACAGTTCCACCTTTGATAGGGGAAAATGTCGACTCCTCTACATGTTTCGTGGAAATCATCCACTTCCTCAGGAGGAAAAGTCAAAGATTACTCAGAAATAGAATCATAACAGCCAGAGTACAATACCTCATAGCATTACAAGTATAATGTTACATATAAATATCTCGAAATCCACAGATAATTTGCTTACCAATGTGAGCTCATGCTAGGTAAAATAGGCCAAACATGTCTCCCCCATGGCAGCCACGGGGGCAAAGTGATAAGCACGGTGACAGATAGACCACCCATGCGACTGAAAAACATTTAAAAAGGAAAGAAAAAACAAGAGAAAAAAAACAACCAAAGAACCTCAACTATAAACTAACCTTGAAAACAGGATAGCAATATCTTAGCCAGGAGGGGATGAAAAAGTGTCCAGGTAATTAACATCGGGTTGAAAACTCAAAATGTAAAAAGGCCACGAATAAGGGGTTAAAGATGTCCGTTCCAACCAAAGCATAAACAGGTCCCCATAGGCAAAAACCTACCAGCATATAAGAAATAACTCTAAAGAGATACTAAAAAGATATAATAGTTATAGTCAAAGGTCTCCCAAATATGGAATTACATAGAAAGGTATACCAATGGTTAAAAATGCTATGGAAAAAACATTGAAAATAAGAGTCAAGCTTCCCCTCCTGGCACATGTCTGCGACAAGGGGCCCGTCCGGCCCACCATTTATAACCCCCAATCCAGTGCATGTTTATCTGCCGGCTGCTGGCGACATCTGATGTCATCGGACTAGATGCCCCGAACCGTGCATATGCGAATATTCGCACGTGCTCGGTAGTCTCCAACGCGGCCATCTTGTGGACCGTGAATAGGCTCAGAAGGAGGCAGGGCCACCACCAAAGGGGAAAAGACCTCCTCCCCCTCAGGGAATCACGTGACTGCTGCAGGGAATTGCAGAGGCACCGTCCCAAGGCCAAGCAGCGATGGGCTCACAATAGACAGCAACATACAGTACAATCAATGATAGCAATTTAAATAGATGGTACAAAACAACACAATTAAAAAGGGGAAGGGGGAAAAAAGAGAATCAAAGAGAATCAATCCTGAATGGTCTATATACATAAATGGACAAAAAGCAGCAATGGACATTAAACAAAACCAGCACAGGACATCATGTTGGCCACTTAGATGAGATAGCATTTCATATAAAAGGTTTGTAAGTTAATACTTCTTGAAGACCAGGGGGTGTGGGTGGTGGCATTGAGTTTCTCTATCCACAGGGTTTCCTGTCGTAGGATTAGATGATCCCAATTGCCACCACTTGGATTTTCAGGGATTACCTCCAGTACCATAAACTTGACCACCGTACAATGAAATCTATTAAATAAACCTATATGGCATCCCACAGTGGTGGGTTTGGTACCACAATCCACAAAAGTACCATTAGGTAATTTAATTTTAGTACCCTCCTGGATACAGGGGCAACGTGGGCAAGAGCCACAATGAAAAGTGCCCCGGGGGGCCAGGAGAGACCGTGGTTTATGTAGATAATTACTGCTCATCAAACGATCTTTCAAGGAAGTGGTACAACAAAAAAACAATTCAGGACTCGATCTTTATATATTTTTTAAGGCTATGATGGTCTGTGAGGAGATGCCAATGATTGGAAAGCATAGTACGAAGCTGGTTACTAGTTACTAGGTGCTAATTGCTATGTTATGCCTTTTTTTTTTGCTTTTTTTGGTGCAATATTAGACTGATTCCTCTGTGTGGTGTTCTGGGTGTCCAAACTCTGTTTTTCTTTAATAGAAACATCACTTGGTTTCCACACTCACTCCTTTTGTTTTTGGAGGTATGTTTTTTTCCTAGTGGTGTTAGTCTTGGGGTTCCCACCATCATTCATCCTCTGCAACTATTCATATATCTGAATCATCAGGTTTCTTCTTACGGGTTGTGGAGTATTGATCCATATTATGTACATTGTACCTATTCCTATTTTTGTGCACTGGCTGTGTCTTCTGTGGATTTATGATCTTATGTGGGATGCTATTCACACTCCTATAATTCTTTACTTTTGACACATGTGGGGTGTTTGGTCTTGGGTATTATTTTTGTGACCATTTAGTCATTTTTCATTTATTGTTTTGTTGTCCTTGCATATCACTTGTTGTTTTAGTATTTTGTCATGGTACTTATTATGGATTGTCCATGCCTGTCTGGTGTTTGCCATGTGCTACAGTGGCCATCTTGTAAGTATTCATTACCTGCTTTGTTTGTTTCACTTTTTTCTGCAATTTGTCATTTTTATGTAGGAGCTATTTTTATTTATTTATTTCAGCTAGGATTTTGCATATTTTGCTTTTTTGATGTATTACTGTGTTTTTTTTCTTTTTTGTGATTTTTGTTTACCTTTTCCCTGTATGTGTCTTTTAACTCTTGTACTGTGTGAGGTCATCAATAGGGGGTGTTGTTGGTGGGTGGGTCTTTGGGTTTATTAGTCTGTTCACTTCCATGTTGTAGTGACTGAGTGACTGTAGTGACTGAGCTTAATCGAAACGTTGACAATAAAAATATTGTTGTTTTTGATCTCCCTCCTCTGAAAGACCCGTGAGTGCCTCTAAACCAGTTTTGGATTTTATTTTATATATATATATATATATATATATATATATATATATATATATACGTTATATTCCAAATGTATTGGGGCACTCCTACAAATCATTGAATTCAGGTGTTCCAATCACCTCCATGGCTACATCTGTAAAAAAAATCAAGCACCAGGGCATGCAGACTGCTTCTACAAACATTTGTGAAAGAATGGGTCTCTCTCAGGAGCTCAGTGAATTCAAGTGTGCTACTGTCATTGGTTGACACCTGTGCAATAAGTCCATCTGTGACATTTCCTTGCTACTAAATATTCCATGGTCAACTGTTAGTGGTATTATGACAAAGTGGAAGCAACTGGGAACAGCAGCAACTCAGCCATGAAGTGGTAGGCCACACAAAATGACAGAGTGGGGCCAGCACATGCTGAAGCGCACAGTGCGCAGAAGTCACCAATTATCTGCAGAGTCAATAGCTAAAGACTTCCAAACTTCATGTGCCCTTCAGATTAGCACAACAACAGTGCATAGAGAGCTTCATGGAATGGGTTTCCATGGCCGAGCAGCTGCATTCAAGCCTTACATCACCAAGTGCAATGCAAACCGTTGGATGCAGTAGTGTAAAACAAAACCGCCACTGGACTCGCCAAGTGTAAAGTTTTGTGGAGGGGGGATTATGGTGTGAGGTTGTTTTTTTTTTGGTGGTTGGGCTTGGCCCTTTAGTTCCAGTGAAGGGAACTCTTAAGGTGTCAGCATACCAAACATTTTGGACAATTTCATACTCCCAACTTTGTGGGAAGAGTTTGGGAATAGCCCCTCCGTGTTCCAACATGACTGTGCACCACTGTACAAAGTAAGGTCCATAAAGACATGGATGAGCGAGTTTGGGGTGGAGAAACTTGACAGGCCTGCACGTATTCCTAACCTCAACCTGATAGAACACCTTTGGGATGAATTAGAGTGGAGACTGCGAGCCAGGACTTCTCATCTGACATTAGTGCCTGATCTCACAAATGCGCTGTGTAAAGGCTGGTGTGCCAATACTTTTTACAGTTAAACACTGGTCATTTACATAAATTGTCTATAGATTACATAGAAAACTAAATATTTTTGGAAGACAATATTGCCAACAGAATGCCCAGTTTTACTAAAAAGTAATTTATTAATCACTTTGTTATCTTAATAATGAATGAATAAACAGGTTCATTGTGGAAATGTAAAAATTGCTCAAGTCCATAAGGGGTATAAAAGGTGAAAGAACTAAAGTGGTTAATAATACAGAAAGCTTGTTTTAATTTTTTTACCACTTAAACTTCAGAAGTTTAAGTGATCAGGCAGTTGTTTGCTATTCAGCACTGCGCTAATTTAATTGGCAATTGTGCCATCTTGAAACACTGTACGCAAATGAAATTTATATCATTTTTTTCACACAAATATAACTTTCTTTGGATGGTATTTGATCACCACTGTTTTTTTTTTGTTATTTTTTATTATATAATTGAAAAAAGACAAAACATTAGAAAAAGATATTTTCTATTTTCTGTTATTAAACATATCCAAAAAAAAATAATAAATTAAATGTCTTCATAAATTTAGGCCAAAGTTTATTCTGCTACAAGTCTTTGGTAAAAAAAATCTGAATAAGTGTATATTATTTGGTTTACGTGAAAGTTATAGGGGTTTATTTACTAAAGCTGGAGAATCCAAAATCAGACTCCCTTCTGCATAGAAACCAATCAGCTTCCAGATTTCATTGCCAAAGCTTCATTGAACAAGCTGAGGTTAGAAGCTGATTGGTTTCTATGCAGAAGGGAGTCTGATTTTGGACTCTCCAGCTTTAGTAAATAAACCCCATAGTGTCTACAGACTATGGTATATATTTGAAAATTGATCAATCCTGATGTACTGACAGCTAACCCCTTTTTGGAAAGTAAACAGTCTGAGGTATTTAGTAAGAGGCATGGTGAGTTTTTTGAAACTGTACTTTTTTGGTACAATTTTTTTTCAAACTGAAGAAATTAAATACATTTGTTTTCACAGTTTTTTTTTTACATACCCTAACCAGTGCAGTTCAGTGTCATCATATGGCTGGTGTGATGGTGATCAGGGACACTGATTGGTGACAGTATGTTAAAAAAAATAAATTTTTATTAAATTTTGTAAACTGTTTTTCAAGCAATTAATGTTTTACATATTTTTATCAGAGTAGTTCAGTGTCACCATGGTAATACTATACTACTCTGAGGAGGTGATCAGGGATATTTTTTATTTACACTTTGATTGCTGACACAATGAAGATCATTGTACCAGCAATGCTTTGAACTGTCATGAATGAGTTTCATTCATGAAAGCTGTTATTACTTGTGATCTTTGATTGACTACAGCTAACCACATGGTACAGGGGGCTGTGATTGGCTCAGGTACCAAGTGATAGCTGTGGGCCAATCACAGCTCATTAGTATCAGAAGAAGGGCTGCTATAAATTAAATTAATTCATAACTGCTTTGTTGACATTGTGATCATGTGAACTCATAGCTTTGAATGGCCCTGTCCCGGAAGCCACAATTGACTATGTCATGTATGTGATTGTGCCTGCATGTGCTGCCCTGCCACAGTACATGTACTGTGGAGGGTCGGCAAGCGGTTAAAGAGTCACATGATGTATGCATTAAATGCATACAACTGAAATTTCAGAATGGAATAATGAGTTCCACACCTTAATAATCTGTCCAAAGACTTCCACCAACCTTTCTCTAATACTTAATTGTAAACCACCATAAGCATGCACATCATAATCTGTATCAATTTAAACATAAACTATTTTACTCCATACTAATATGTACTACTTTTAGTGTAAATTCTTAGTTTGTGATGGGTATCTGTTGATTTTTCATATCCATAATATTAAATATTTCTTCATCGGCTAATAATGTTATCAAACCAAGGCTGGTGTCAATACTGTAGCCAAGTTTGGTCTAAGTGGGTACCCAGCAAAATATTAGCCAACCTAGCACAATGTCCCTTTTATTGGCTATTTTATTCTGGCATTACTTTGATTTTATATAAGTCTGATATACAGTATGCAGAAGCTGCTGCGTGTTTTATATTGCATGGTGTGGGTTGACAGTGCGTTGTGGCTATTGGATAGTTTAATTAGCAAGCACATTTTCTTTAAAAAATTGTGAATTTCCAAAGCAGAGTGATGTGCTATACAGTTACATAGTTAGTCTGGTTGAAAAAAGCTACAAGTCCATCTAATTCAACCAATAAAAAGGAAAAAAAAATCCAGTCCTATATATACAATCCTATACCCACAGTTGATCCAGAGGAAGGCAAACAAAACCCCAGCAAAGCATGATCCAATTTGCTCCTGCAGAGAAAAAAAATCTGATCCCCCAAAGGCAATCAGATATTCCCTGGATCAACTTTACCTATAAATGTTAGTATCCAGTTATATTATGTGCATTTAAGAAAGAATCCAGGCCTTTTTTAAAGCAATCTACTGAGCTGGCCAGAACTAGTTCTTGGGGGAATCTGTTCCACATTTTCACAGCTCTTACTGTGAAAAAGCCTTTGCATATTTGGAGATTAAATCTCTTTTTTTCTGTAGATGTAAAGAGTGCCCCCTAGTCCTCTGTGATGATCTTAAAGTGAGTAACTCTACACCAAGATCACCTTGGACCACCTACTGTATGTATTTATACATGTTGATCATATCCCCTCTTAACCACTTAAAAACCTCCAAAGGATTTTCCCCCCTTCCTGACTAGACCATTTTTTGCGATATGGCGCTGCGTTACTTTAACTGACAATTGCGCGGTCATGCAACCCTGTACCCAAATGAAATTTATATCCTTTTTCCCTAAATGGAGTTTTCTTTTGATGGTATTTTATCACCTGTGCATTTTTAATTTTTTTGCACTATAAACAAAAATATACTGACAATTTTAAGAAAAAAACAATATTTTTTACTTTTTGCTATTAAACATGTCAAGACAAAAATTTAAAAAAATCTAATTTCGTCATAAATTTAGGCCAAAATGTATTCTGCTACATGTCTTTGCTAAAAAAAATCCCAATGCGTGTAAATTAATTGGTTTACGTGAAAGTTATAGTGTATGCCAAGCTGCGGTTTCTAAAGCGAGCAAAATCCTCTCTTGTATTAAAAGAGGTATAGACTCCAGAGAGAGAGATATCATATTACCCCTGTACAGATCATTAGTAAGATCTCATCTGGAATATGCAGTTCAATTTTGGGCACCAATTCACAAAAAGAACATTGGGGAACTGGAAAAACTACAGAGAAGGGCAACTAAACTGATAAGAGGCATGGAGGAGATCAGAGGAAAGATTAGAGGAACTGAATTTATTCTCACTCGTGAGAAGAGGAGATTAACATATATAAATACATCAGTGGTTCATATAGTGAACTCGGTGTAGAACTATTCACCCTGAGGTCATCACAGAGGACAAGGGGACACTCTTTACGTCTGGAGGAAAAAAAATGTAATCTCCAAATACGGAAAGGTTTCTTTACAGTGAGAGTTGAGAAAATGTGGAATAGACTCCCTCAAGAGTTGGTTCTGGCCAGCTCAGTGGATTGTTTCAAAAAAGCCTGGATTCTTTCCTAGATACACAGAATATAACTGGATACTAACATTTATAGGTGAAGTTGATCCGGGGAATATCTAATTGCCTCTCGGGGGATCAAGAAGGAATTTTTTTTCCCAGCAGCAGCAAATTAGATCATGCTTTGCTGGGTTTTTTTGTCTTCCTCTGGATCAACTGTGGGTATAGGATTATAACTTTTTTTTATTTTATGGTTGAACTGGATGGACTTTGTCTTTTGTCAGCCAGACTAGCTATGTAACTATGTACAAATGGAGGTATGTATACCGGAATTTTTTTTTTTACTAGTAATGGTGGCAATCAGTAACTTATAGCGGGACTGCAGCGGACATTCTGACACTGGGGGGGACCAGACTTGGTGTCACGGCCAGTCTCTATTGTGAGCTTCCAGAAGGGCAACCTGCTCATATCTGTTGCAGTGTTATCCATCCTGCAGCTGTTGCTCCTTTGTTTTATACATGCGGCACACTGTACACTGAACAAAACCTTTAACCTTACTAGCACTCATTTTCCCAGTTACAATATTAATATTACTAACAGAAAATGTCAGATTTTACTTACAGGTAGAAGACTCCTATTATAATCTGTTGTAAACTTCACTTAGTCAAATTTCTTACTTTGTCAAAGATCCAGCAAGCAAAAAGTGGGCAAGCTGAAGGATGTGCAAGCTCAGCGTGAGCTTAGCAGAAAGTTATATAGTACCTGGAGTACCTGTGACCAATTACCACTCCCGTTAATGACTGAAGGAAGGAAAGAAAAAAATGCTATTTAAAAAGTGTCAGAAAAGATGTTTTATAAAGCTGCAAGCAAAGAGCCCAAACCAGAAAATAAAACAACTTTAAACCAC